ATAGCGCAGTCAATTTTACGCAGGGCTTTACATATATATTGTACATTCACATCAGTCCCTAACCCTCAAGGGGCGTACTCACATTAACTCACATTCATACATACACATACTAGGGCCAATTTAGACATGAACCAATTAACCTACCAGCATGTCTTTGGACTTTGTGTGGGAGAAAACCGGAGTACCCACAGGAAACCCACGCAGGCACAGGGAGAACATGCAAACTCCAGGCAGGTGGTGCCGTTGTGGGGATTCAAACCAACAACCCTAGTACTGCCAGGCGGAAGTGCTAACCATTTAGCCACTGTGCTGCCCCTAGAAGCCGAAGAATTAGAGATTTAGTTGTAGCACAAAAATAGACAATTGTGACCGGGCTGGGGTGAGAGATCGCCGCATGTCTCCTCCTGTAGCCGGAGCGCGGTACACCCATCTAGAGGCCTGACCTTCACCGGGACCACAGGAAAGCTGCAGGTTATCCACAACTAGCGCTGCAAGGTCAGACTGCCACAGTCCCCACCCATCACTACCCAACCGCATATTTGGATGCATATTGAGAAATATAGGGGTGTTATCTTTGTTGTTTTTAGTTTTAGAGAACTTGGATAGGGATGAGAGAGATGAGTGGGATGTAAATAGTAGGATGTAAATAGAAACTATATACATTTGAGGACTGTATCTAATCTTCAGGACAAGGTATGTCAGAGTCTGTGCTTGAATTAATCAGTGGGTTTCAGTTTTAAGGCAGTAGTAGAAAGTAGTAGTAGTAGTTGTAGTAAATTCTTTAGAACCCCAAAGTAGTGTCCCTTTAAAAGTAGGCCAGGTGGACAAAGCTGTTTGGAACACCAGCCGGGGTTCCATTTGCTAGACCCGCAGCTGACTTCCAAGAACCAGAGGGGGGTTAAACAGCACACAGTCTCTAAGATTATTTAGGAATGTCGGTACTCACAAGAATAGCTGGATACCTTTCTCCATGATACTAGACCAGATCATCAGTAGACAACCCCTCAGTCAGTATATCAGAACCAGCATTCAGGCCCTCAGGTCTTCTACCTGATACTGCATGGCAGTAGTTGCCTGGAAGGGCAATGTGCCCTCTCCCAGGCTGGATCAGTCCTGGACAGAAAAGAACCTGGAGCCCCGTGTGCTCACTGAATATATACAGTTACCCAGTATGCCATCAGAAGAGAACCAGTCTCTTTGGGATAGGCTGAGGCTGTATCAATATTCATGCTGCAATCTGCATAACTCCACACCTATCATCCAGAATCTTCTAAAGTTTCCTGGATACAGAGGAAGCTATAGGCAGACTAGCAACAGCTGAGCACACAGAGCAGACCTAACTAAATGATCACAGCTCACCTAGTACGGTGATCTAACTATGCTTTTACCTAACAAATAATTACAGCTACTCTGACTACACAACTAATTCTATCTATCTAACCCTAGCACCTACCTAGTAATGTAACTACACCTGTAATGTAGTCACAAAACATATTTTGGCACTATTAGGTGAATTGAAGATTCAGGTCCATTTCTCATGCTGAAATGTAATGGGGTAGAGATGAGTAGTCCTGAATCAGTAGCATGTCAAAAAGTTTGGGGCTAAGGTTGGTAGGGGTCTAAGACTACAGAGAGCTTCAAAAGGCATACGGTCTGTATGAGTGGCTCCTTCTTTGTGAAGGTGAGAAAAATTGTTTTTCATTTGCAGATAATGGAGCCAGTGGCCTGGGTGGCGGAGATGATCCACAACTAGCATGGTGAAGGGTTCCAGTTGGCAAGCATGTAGTGCCATGCAAAAACAGGAAGGATTCCCTTGTAACCATTTTATGAAGGAGATCATAAAGCTGCCTAAAGGAAATGTTGGGTATTATAGGATGGGGGTTATGGGGCCTTAATAAGAAGAAAATTTAGGACTTTTTACTATAGTGTGCAAATATTTTTTTTTTCTAAGCATAAGTCTCAAGTGGACTCTTTAAATGTTTTTCCTACTGCTTAATGCAACATTTGTTTTTCCCTTAAAATGGTCCTTACAGAGTGTATTATAGTTCATAAAGATTCTAAAAATTAGAATTTAATTGATTAGATACCCAGAAGAATCATCGGGTATTTCACTGTTTAGTAAGCCTATACTGTATGCAACTTGCATGCAACATAAAGTCATTATCGGGAAGTAACCTAACTCTTATTTGATCATAACAAAGATAGCTCTAATTAATAAGGGCTCCACTATGGTACAAAATCAACATGAGTGGCTAGAGAATGTAATAACAAAGTTTGATAAATCTGGTATTTCATGATAATCTCTTCATGCATTTGATGCCTAGTAAGCTATAAAAAACAAAACAATAATCTAGGGCTGTTTCATAAATTGAAACTATACAGTTTGATATTTTTGCATGGTAAAAAAGAGTATGTAAAATGTGTTTTTTTTTCCCATATCTTTGTGTTATAGTGTAAAATTGCTGTGGGTTGATAAAATGTATTTTGCTAATATTAGACATATAAAAGTATAACTTTAAAGCCCAAATCTGAGCAACTTTAAAGCCTAAATCTTAAAAATGTAATCTGGGAGTAGTTTAAAATAAATAAAAACTATAATTCAACCTGAAAACTGTGGACTTGTGAGCGCATGGTGTCTTGTACCCATTTGAACAGGGCCATTATCACAGCACCATGTACAATGTAATAATAGAGTGGATGACCCATCAATGAGGGATTGCATAAAGGAAAGTGGACCCTGTTTAATACAGTATGTGATCAGCCTGAAGACATCTAAAAAAAAGTAAGAATGGGGTGGGGTTTGTATTAATATGTGGTGTGTTTGCAGCATATACTGTATCATTGTTCCATCATGTGATGTGTGCTAAAATATGCCATAAAAAAATGTAGAGGTCCCATGATGTCTTACTTTCAACTCTGGTCAGCAGGATTGGAATGGTCAATAATGGGGGCTTGGTTATCAGCCAGATCCCTTTCTATAAAAGGGTGGGTTCCCAGCAGCCATTTGTTGGTGTTTGTTGGAGTAGTTTAGGGAAAGCTGACAGCCTATGGTGGGCTACATATTCTTTTGTAGGCTGCTTTCCCCTACACGGACTTTAATTGTTTTATTGAGGTTTTTTATTTGCTTTTAGTTAACATTAACAAAATAAATCCTGCGATGATAAAAAAAATTAAGTTGGGTTGCTTTGAGGTTATTTTTTGGGGGAGGTATATATATATTTTTTTTATTTTTATTGATAGGGCCTTTTTCCCAGGCACAGAACAGTCAGTTGCCTTTAGGTGCTAATGATGGACCCTCTTTCTCCTCCACTTTTGTTAATCCTGTCATAGCCCTGAAAACCGGCTATGAGAATTTGTGGGATTATTTGATCATGCAATCAATGACCTGTTGCAGGAGAATGATTTTAGTAATCTGTAACCATTCCTCCTTTCAGATACTGAGGATGAGGCGGATAGTGCCATTACCATAGAAGGAGAGATGAATTCACTCACAGCAACCAGGGAACTTTATGTAGAGTATTAGGAAGAGACAGTGATGGTCTAGCACTTATCCACAGGATAGGTGGATGATTATGTTGCAAACCATCTGTGGGTGTTATGAATTGGAGAAAAGAAAGGTTTTGAGGGAGAGGCAGAGCAGCAGTGAGAACGGATTTTTTTTCCAGTTGACAGGAAGAAGGATGGTCCTAATTCATCTGGTGACACTGCCTCACAGGTACAGGCCAGTGCTATCCCCAGGATCAGTGAGCCTTTTTAATGTATCTGCTGTTAACAGTGCCATTGTGGTCTGCAGCCTCTGCCTGCAGCCAGGGACAGTGCTACCACTAGGCAAACTTGGCAGCCGTCTAGGGTGCAGCCAAGGTCAGGACCACCGATATGGAAGTACAGCTGGCTCTTCTGCAACATTAGTTATTTTTTCCATGGGCCCCATCAGTTCACCAAAGGGGCCCAGGAGGCAAGGAGCAGTGAGGGACTCTTTTTTTTTTTTTTTTTTTTACGCGCAGGCAGCTAAAGCCGTGGCTGCTCGCAGCCTTTCACTAGCAGAGTGATTATTTTACTGGTGGATTGATTATCCCTCACACAGCTGTGAAGGGAGAAAGGCAAAGCTGTAGCCAGGCAGCTGAAGATGATTCAATAGAAAAGTGACTGAGGGCACAGGCAGCAATGGGAACCCGGTGCACAGGCAAGCTCACATTTCTTTTTTCTGAAGCACAGACAGAGATACAGCCATACACTCTCTACAGACAGACATACAGCACCTCCTGTACTGTGTGATCGTCAGATGATGATCTCCGTGAGGAGGAGTAAATACCTCCAGAGCTCAGCACAGATGGACAGTATAGATGCTATGGTACAGAGCAGGGGCGGACTGACCATTTGGAAACTCGGGCACTGCTCGGGGGCCCAGGGTCAGTAGGGGGCCCCATGAGATGCCCCTGGTACCTTTTTCATAGACTTTTTTTGAGTTTGGGCAAGGACACAGGGGCCCCATGATCCCCTATTGCCCGGGGACCCCATGAGTTGTCAGTTCGCCCCTGGTACAGAGAAACATCCCGCTATCCTTCCTGTTGCTGAAACAGGAGAGAGTGACATCATAAGTGTTTCTTTAGGCAGTAACCATTTTCCAGTACTATCTTCTGATACCTCTACACACACGATCTATCATCCTGATCCCCCTAACCCTGCAGTCCATCATCAGCAGGCCAAACTCCTTTTTGAGAACTCAGAACCTACCAAGCACCAGAGAATCCGGACTTTAGATAAGAAATATTACTGTCCCAAGTGTGGGAAATGTTTCATCTAACGGTTAAACCTTTCTAAGCACAAAAAGATACATATAACCGAGAAGCTGTTCTTCTGTTCAGAATGTGGGAAGGCTTTTATCCAGAGATCCCAACTCATTATGCACCACTCACACAGGGGAGAAGCCTTATTCCTGTGCCGAATGCGGAAAATGTTTTTCCTGGAAGTTTCTGCTCATCAGACATGAACGGGTCCACATGGAAGAGAAACCGTTCTCATGTTTAGAGTACCGGAAATAGTTTGTGGAGAAATCACACCTCGTGTACCACGAGAAGTCTCACACCACCAACAAGTCGTTTTCCTGCCTCATGTGCAGGACACGCTTCATCCTGAGAGCCCAACTTATGTCACACAAAAGAACTCACACCATCAAGAAGCTGTTTACCTGTTCGGAGTGTGGGAAGGACTTCAGGCAGAAGTCAGAACTCGCTAGGCACCAAAGAATCCACACAGCTGAGAAGCCATCCTCCTGCTCTCTAGCTCCTTTGTCACCTCCTCCTATGCTAGCCTCCAGGATTTCTCCAGAGCTGCTCCCATTCTCCGGCACTCTCTTCCCCAATGTGTCCAACTGTCTCCTACCCTGTCCACATTTAGAAGATCCCTAAAAACTCAGAGAGGGCTATCCTGCCCCCAACTGGCAATTGTACATGTATTTTCTCCATCAGCCCATCCCCCACAGTTATTACTTTTTGTATCAATTGACCCTCCCACTTAGATTGTAAGCTCTAACGATCCCTCTGATCCCTTCTGTATCGAATTGTATTGTAATTGTACTGTCTGCCCTTATGTTGTAATGCGCAGTGTAAAAAATTGGCGCTACATAAATCCTGTATAATAATAATAATGATGATCATATAAGCACAGTGAGATGCTTCCTGTTAGTTCTTACTTACATTTGTGTTTGAGGGACATTAAAGATGTATTGTGTAACCCCCCCCACCCATTGCCGTACTATGGTGGTAGTGTTTTTGCAGCAAGTGTATAAATAAGTGTGTAAATAAGAACTAACAGGAAGCATCACATTGAGTGTGTGTAAATCTGGCAGGCTGACCGTTGGGTGGCAATAATCCGATAGCTGTGCAGCCTCCAGATCGCTTCCACACCGCTCGTGTGCCCTGCCATACTTCCCAGGCTCCGTGATCCCATCAGTGGATCTGGTACCTGCAAGGTGGGTGCCATCAGTAGAAAGGAGGGAGATCAGTGAACACCTGTTCACTGATCCACCCTTCCTGTTAATAACCAAGAAGCAAATTGTAAAATGTCACTTCTGAATCCTGGTGTCACTATCCCAATCAGGATTGAATGAAGTTAGCTGGAGAACAAGCCACCTCCTGCAAATGCCAGCCAATCCTTTCCAAGTTCCCCAGTCAGTCTCCACACAGATCTAACATTGGTAAGGATTAGCTCCACGTGGAGTTGTTTTTTGAAGTTTTTTTTTTTTTTTGGGTGGTGCAAGTAGCTGGTCTTTCCTGGGTTGCAAAATAATTTAGCACTTGCCCTGCCTGCAGCACACCAGCAGTGGTTAAAATGCCCACTATTTGGTTACCATATCAATAATGAAACACATGACTGCACTACACAGTTTGAAGAGAGGATTACCTCAATGTGTCCAGTCAACAGCATGCCTCCTACTCCTTTTTCCTTACTTTCTGCATCCCCCTTCCACCCACAACATTCTCTTTCTGCATCCAAGGTTTCTAGTTTCAGTAAGAGAAGTCTCACAAAGGGTTTCAGAGGTTTAGAATATGCCATGTCAAATGCGGAAGAGGGACAAGGGACAACACCAAGGAGGGTAAAGTTAAGGCTTTAACCTCTGAAAAATTCAGGCAACCATCCCTAGCAGCATTCTTCCCAAGGAAGGTGTGTCTATTGCAGCTGTTAGAGCCTCAACTTACCAACATACATGGTGTCTTAATGCCATCTTGACAAAACTGTTGGCTTTGCAGCTTCTCCTATTCTTGTTCTTGATATCAGCCCCCTTCCAAGGGTTTATGACCTGTGCTAAAAGTGGCTGGTACCCAGATTCCATTATTTTGCCTAGAAGTCTGTTCTTGCCTTCAACCAGCATGCAAAATGAAATGTCCCTTTGTCACTGGACCACAGTGTTAGCAGCAGGGCAAACATGACCCTGGACATGTATTCCATTAAGCATGGGCAGAGATGATACATAATTTTCATGGCAGCTGCTGGATATGGTAGGAATGCCTTGTGTCTTGTCCAAAGTTGACAATGCAGTCTCCTGTAATCCTTCCTCCTCATTGGCCTTATCCTTCAAATCCTTGAAACCAGCAAACCCTCCCATATTCCCAAGTGCATATGCCATATTCCAAGCTAATCACTGCCATGCCGTGTTTTTACAATTTGCATACCTATGGTACAAGAACTGGAAGAAATGCAGTGCTAACATTCATTGCCTGCCCACCACCTTATCTATCAAGGGAAAGAGCGGTAGACCAAATGATAGAAGAGTCCAAATGAATGTATTGGTTTGCAATTTGAAAAAATCCAGTGCATTTCAGGGGCCACAAAAAAATCATCAGGGCTACACAAAACACATTATAATATAAATGTAGATGTGATTGGTATAAGCATAAGTTTGATAACATGAAAGGTCATGGGTAGCATACAAATATACTGTACATACATGAATAGGAAAGATGGTGCTGTTATGCAGCTGAAAACCAGAAGAATCACAAACCAGGATATTGTTCAGGGATGCTTCAGAATGTTTGATTTCAGAAATAGTGAAGATGGTTGTGATTATTTGATCTGTCTATTTTCTTTTGTAACCTACTGGGTACCCACTGGAGAGTAGCCATGTCTGTTGTGAGCAGCCTAATCCAAGCCAGTGAGCTCTCCAAATGTTTTTTTTCTCTCAAAATAATTTGTATGAATGCACATAATAGTTTCAGTGCCTCTTGGATGTTTTTTTTTCTTCAACCCCCCTAATCTTTGACATCCTAAACATTGTCCATTCGACAGATGCAGCAGCATCATTCTATCAGGATATTCTGTATGATTATAGTACAAGAACAGGCTGTGGGGATATGAAGTTTTGTTCATACATTTAGTAGCTATATTGCCACTGTTGCTAAATGTGACAGTTTTCCACTCAGCGCTCCTATTTGCTAAGAAGCCAGTAGCCACTGGCATCCCAGAAACAAGTGATGCATCCCCAGCCCATTCATCTGCTGAGATTCCAAGTAGGCACATAAATGTACACAAAGAAGCAGGGATGCTGGCTGACATCATGGCCAGTGATGGTTAATGACATCAGCCAACAACACCACCCTTTGTTTACAATCAAGGTGTTTGCCTGGAGATATGTCAGTTATGGCTGGCAGTGCAATAGGAGCAATGTGTCGGCAGGTTGGAGTTTATGTTTCAGCTGACATTTTTCATTGTAACTGACAATAAGTCTACATCACTGGATGACATGATTGACATGTACTCTTTCATATAGGGAAGGTGGGGGATATCTGAACACCCCTTATCTTAAAGCAGGCCTCCAGATTTGGATAAGCCCTCTCACACAGACCCTCACATCTACTTTTTTGTTACTTTTTTGTTGGCATGATGTCCCTCTTTAACCAATTCAATACCGGGCAATTTTACACCTTCCTGCCCAGGCCATTTTTCAGGTTTCAGCGCTCTCACACTTTGAATGACAATTGCACGGTCATACAACATTGTACCCAAACTAAAATTTTATCATTTTCTTCACACAACTAGAGCTTTCTTTTGGTGGTATTTAATCATCACTGGGTTTTTATTTTTTGCTAAATTAACAAAAAAAGACCAAAAATTTTGTAAAAAAACATGTTTTTCTTTGTTTCTGTTATAAAAGTTTGCAAATAAATAATTGTTCTTCATAAATTTAGGCCGAGATGTATTTTGCTACATGTCTTTGGTGAAAATAACCCAAATTAGGATGTATTATTTAGTTTGTAGGAAAGTTATATAGTTCACAAACTATGGTATAGATCTGAATATTGATCAATCCTGAAGTACTGACAGCCAATCTAATTTCTTGAGGTCCAAGAATGTCAGAATAGTACAGATATCCCCCAAATGACCCCTTTTTGCAAAGTAGACAGTCCAACGTACTTCATAAGAGGCATGGTGAGTTTTTTGAAGTTGTAATTTTTTGTCATTTTTTGGAAAATGAAAAAATAAAAAAAATTATTTTCACTATTTTTTGTTTACATACTGTCACCAGTGCAGTACAGCATCATCATATAACTGGCATGCGGTGATCAGGGACACTGACTGGTGACAGTGTGAAAAAAAAAAAATATATATATATATATATATATATTTTTATTTTTTTTTTTATTACATTTTTTTTTTTTTTTAAGATTTTTTTTTCATATTTCACTATGTCCAAAGTAGTACAAATAGAGCTTTCTTTTTGTGGTATTTATCCACCTCTGGGGTTTTTATTTTTTGCGCTATAAACAAAAAAAACTGAAAATGTTGAAAAAAAACTATTTTTTTTTCATTTTTGATATAAAAAAATCCAATAAACTCAAATTTCATCATAAATTTAGGCCAAAATGTTTTTTGCTGTATGTCTTTGGTGAAAAAAAAATCCCAATAGGAGTATAATAATTGGTTTGTGTGAAAGTTATAGCGTCTACAAATGGCGGTATAGATATTGGAATTTATGCAATTTGTTGCTATATGGCACTGTGCTAGTTTAACTGACAATTGCACGGTCATGCAATACTGTACGTGTATTAAATTTATGTCCTTTTTTTCCACACAAATTTTGAAAAATATTTTCTCATTTCTGTCATAAAAAATATCCAATAAACTCAAAATTTGTCATAAATTTAGGACAAAATGTATTTTGCTACATGTCTTTGGTAAATAAAAATCCCAATAACTGCCTTAATTGGTTTGTGTGAAAGTTATAGCCTACAAACTATGGTATAGATACTGGAATTTACACAACTTTTACTTTCTGATTGCCTATCACATTTCTTGAGGTGCTAAAATGCCAGGGCAGTACAAACACCCTCGAATGACCCCTTTTTGGAAAGTAGACACACTAAGTTACCTGCTGAGAGGCATGTTGAGTTCATGGAAGATTTATTTTTTTTTTTTACACAATGTTTTGGAAAATTAGTTGTCACTTTAATGATATATTGCTCACACAAGCCATGGGTATATGTGTGATTACACCCCAAAATACATTCTGCTACTTCTACCAAGTATGGGGATACCACATGTGTGAGACTTTTGGAAGCCTAGCCAGATACAGGAGCCTGAAATCCAATGACCACTTTGAAAGCCTGAAGGTGCTTAACTTCCGCATTTTACTTCCTCACTACCTATCACAGTCTCAGAAGGCCAGGATAGCACCCCCCCCCCCCCATGACCTCTTTTTAGAAAGTAGACACCCCAAGGAATTTAAAATGAGGCATGGTGAATATTTTGCATATCTCATTTTTCACACAAGGTTTTGAAAAAAAAAAAAATGTTTTTGTTTTCTTTCTTAATTTTCCAGCAACTTGTGGCAACAAACAAGATATGCAAAATACTCACCATGCTTCTTATCAAATTCTTCGGGGTGTCTACTTTCCAAAAAGGAGTTATTTGG